GGGGGGGGGGCTGCGGGGGGGGCACGTTTGAAGTGCTTTTGTAAGCGACTGCAAAGCTGTGCTAGGATTTCCACCCCCAGGCCAGGGCGTGGGGGAGGGGGATGCCCAGGGCCAGCCCGGATGCCGCCAGGCCCCACAGCTTACGCTGGTGCATCCTGGTACCGCTGGGCTGGTGCCAGCGCTGCTTGCAATGCGGGGAGTTGGCCCCCGGGTCCTGCCTCGCTCCGGGGCTGGGCCGGACATCCTCTCCCTGGGCACCCGGGCGCCAAGGGGCCAGGCCAGGACCGGGACTCGACAGCCTCCCCGGAGGAATGGCTTGGGGAGCACTTGAGAAAGGGAAACCTAATAAAGCGAGAGCTGAACGCTGCGTCCGGCGTCTTGTTTCCACGGTGCAGACGAGGTGGAGGAAGCCGGGGCGGGTTGCAGGCCCTGTCGGGTCTGGGGCCTGCAGCTTGCTGGGGCCTGCCTTGCTGTCCTGGGGCTGAGCAGGGCTGGGGCAGGAGGTGGCCTGGGAAGGCATGGGGAAGCCTTGGGGTAAAGCCCTGCTCCCCCATGCCCTGTGGACACCTGGGTTCTGCGCTGTCGGGGGTCCCCGTCCAGTGCACACCTGGCTCAGATGGGGATAGCCCCCTCCTCCCCTGATCTGTGCCTTTGCACAGTCCATATAGCATCCCCTAGCCCCAGGGGCATCCCTCCAGCCTCTGCAACCCCCATTCATCCCTCCAAGCCGGGGCACACTTGTTCTGGGGGGTGGGGGCAGCCCCAGAGGAAGAGGGGCTGAGGCTGGGGTCCCAGAGGGCCTCAGGGGCTGCCCCCCTCCCTGCCCTTTGCCAGGGCCCAGCCAGCCCACAAGGCATGACACGAACCACGGCTGCTGACAGGGCTGGGGACCCCCATGGTCCCCGGCCCGTCCATCGTACTGCAACTGCCCATGCCCCTGAGCTCTCCTTCCCCTCCAGGATCCAGGCTTTGGGCACCTACCTCATCCATCAGCCACGCAGAAGGAGCCGGGGCTGCCTTGGGCAGGCGGCGTGTCCATGCACGGGTTGCCAGGCCCCAAGGCAGAGCCCTGCTCCAGCCAGCTCCTAAAGCACAGCGTGGATCAGGAGAGCCCAGGACTGGGCTGGGACAGAGGGCCATGGGCAGAGCTGGGGGCCTGTGGCTAGGCCATGCCCCAGGCAGCACTCCCCACCTCTCGCTGCAGCAGCTGTGACCCCAAAAGAGCGAAATACCTGCTGTGCAGGCGCAGACCTCCCCTGAGGATGGGCATGTCCTGCCAGGCCCACCACCCCCACGGCTTCCTTTGAACAGTGCTCAGAGCGAGGCCCTGGGGCCACACCCGCCCAGTCCCCTCCT